TGGACAACGTCCCACTAGCCATCCAGCCGTCTGGCTGGCTGGTGCTCACCTGGCTATAATCGCATTCCATAGCCGACTAAATAAGCGTTCAACTAGCACTGATGCACTTAACGCTGGCGTGGCCAGACGTCAAACGCGCTAATTATGGGTGTCTTTAGACTAGACGAGCTTTGCTGGACATTGAATCAGTGGTGAATGGCTGCTGAGCCAGCCGTCGCCGACCAATTGCACTGGCTCTACTCCTCATTCTCGTTTGCCTAATTTGCAACCGAAGTGCTAGTCGTTCCTCGAATTAGTGCAGAACTAACCTTATTTGCAAAAGTGCTTAGTCAAGTGATTTTGATTCCTTATCCACCCTGTTGACCCACTTCTCGAATTGTCGGATTCAAAAAGTTTTGTTTCATGTTCGACAAAATTTTTCCGCTCCCCGTCGATTTAATAAATGGAAAAATGTGATAGTTTAATTTTTAAAATACTTCCGCTGATAGGTCATGGATTTCTTTCGTTTTATGGCCATCTTCCTTTCTCACTGCATTTATATTTACATCCTCATATATAATATCAAACGTAAGGCTAGTAGTTTTTTTCGTGTGATTTTCCCACCTGCTGCTTACTTTAGGTTCGAGGTAATGGTAGAGACCCTAGTCGATAAAATTCTGGGTCTTTGGAAAAATGCAGCCACTATTTCTTGGCTCTTCCTTTTTGAATGATAGCCTGTCGGGTTAATGTTGAATTTTCAGCAATTTCCCACTTTTTTCTGTTTTTTATTGAAATTGCTTTCAATTCCTTCCAATTCTTCGAAATCCTTTGGTGCATCATGAAATGCAATGAAATGAATAAACAAATGAATGTTTTATAATAAACCATGACTAATCCTTTACTTGTTTCTCCGATCGATGTATGGCTAAGAGTGCAGTGGTGTTTTGCAATAAATCTACTTTCCAGATGCCGTACCGCTAGGTCCTCAGATACAACTGCCGCTTTAATCAAATACCCTACGACGGCATCGATATTACAGCATCCTAAAAGGTAAGATTATTGCTTAAAATCACTACTTCGATCCTTTCCTATGGGCAGTTAATATCAATGAAGTTGAGTACTGTGACGTGTAAATTGAAAAGTAACAAAAAATTAATGAGATTATCGCAAAGATGAAAAATAGCGGACATTCAAGTAGAGCTTCTTTTTCGTAAAAAAAAGTTAAAAGAATTTTGATCTGATAATAAACGTCCGCTTTTTATAGTTATTGACTGTTGCTTTTCAAGAAATGATTGGTTCGTTGAGCAGATATTATAGGGAGACGGGCAGTAGGAACGGTTTTGCGGATCCGCCACACGCGGCTGTCGCGGACCATTTGCCTGTTATAACAGTTCTAGCGTTCTTCATACAGCTCAGTCTCTGTGCGATTATTACCTATAGCANTTGACTGTTGCTTTTCAAGAAATGATTGGTTCGTTGAGCAGATATTATAGGGAGACGGGCAGTAGGAACGGTTTTGCGTAATCGATCCGCCACACGCGGCTGTCGCGGACCATTTGCCTGTTATAACAGTTCTAGCGTTCTTCATACAGCTCAGTCTCTGTGCGATTATTACCTATAGCATGATTCTAGAGTTATTTCTTTTGTTCCTGTATTTCTTACATACTGCTGCACTCTGTTACATTCCTTCTCGCGCGACGTGACTTCGCCGCGCGCGAACATTTCGTTCCTACTGCTCCACACCCTATATTACATGGCCCTGTGATGAACAATAGACTTTTTGGGAAATACTGATTTTGTGGGTGACCACTCAAACATTTTGAACCAAATTATCGATTGTAATTATTAACTGATTATGATTATTTAGGAGGACATCGTTGAAGAAACCTCTAGAAAGCATGAAGCCAGCGTATCCTACACGACGGCCGTCACCGTGTTCTTTATTTCTCGGTGGCGCACTTCTCGTAGCACTTGTAATTATAATTTTATTATTATGTAAGTGACTGAAGCTTTAAGTGTAAATCTCGAAAAATCCAACCCAATCGATTTAGTGCGGAACCCTTCTTATGTCTATGCACAATTGACTCCATTCTCGACTACGGATAGTAGAATATCAGTCGATGAAAAGTCTTTACGACCGTTGCCGTCGGTGATTAGTCTAGGACAACGAGTAGAAGCTGATATACTACCGCAGCACATGACAAATACGTGAGTTGTATAGATGCTGATCGATTTTATTGACCCTCGAGCAATTGAAGTTGTTTAGAACTTGGTGCGCCAGGTGGCATTCCTTTGATCGTAGTCGAAATTCGCTAGGGGAGCACTGAGCAGTTTTCTGGCTCTCAGGATCCCGAAAATGATCTTGCAATCAAGGCTTTGCCATGATCCTTAGTCTTGATGGAAAGGTAGTTGTTGTATAGGCAAGCAGCAGCTCGGCTTAGGTTTTTTTTCGCTCCATTAATTGCTAATTACTAGGCCTTCCGGCTTGGATA